ACTTTCTGTATTTCAAGAGTTGGACAAAGAGCACTGAATTCTAACATATAACACTGAATGTTTATAACATTCCTACAGCTGTTTTGCTTTTGATAAATGCTGCTCATAACTTAGCATCGTCCTCATAGACACACGGGGTCTACCTGTTTCTGGAGAGTTTATATTCGATCCGATGGGGCATTGCTTTACTCTCCAGGTGCAGCAGAATGATACTGGCTCAGTCTATTTTTACATGGAGACAACACAGTCTGTTTGTTTGGCCCTCGTGGACTGTATATGTGTCTTTGGTTTCATAGCTCGATCACAAGAGAGATTTTCAACAACTAAATGAGGATATTTTTCAAGACACACTTTCCAGCACTGAGAAACACTTCATATTTATTTGCGATTATTTAATATGTTAATTTCTGCCAAAATCAAATAAATCTGTTTAGTGAAGTAGTTGTAAATACAGGACTGAATGTTTTTATTTATTGAGTCTGTACAAAAATTAAACTAGAAGTTCTACCAAGTCCACTGACTTACTGTAAATTATTCTTCAAAGTTGATTAGTTGGTCAGAGATAAAGTTTATTTGTCAATGAATTAGTGGAGCACAGTGAAGGGAGACAGTGTTTTGCACTTATAAAATGTTAAAGTATGGGCGCCCCTGTAGCTCACCCAGTTGAGCGGGCGACCCATGAACAGGGGCTATAGTTTGACTCCCGCTCATGACCCTTTACTGCAGGTCTCCCCAAATTCTTCTCCCCCCTTTCCTGTCTCTCTCTACTGCTCTAAAATAAAGGCAAAAAGGCCAAAATATGTATATATATATTAAAAAGTTATGTATGTAAATATGTTATGTATATAAAGTATGCTGCAGTTGATGCATCAGTGCAAGTACTTCTGTCTCCTTGTGATTCATTGCAGGTGGTTGAGTTTAAGTCAACAGCAAAAGTGAAGACACATGACATATGTACGGTATGTGCAGTGAATAGCTGAGTTTGCTGATTGCCATCAGCTGTGATGTTAAAGGCGTCAAACTCTGTTGTTCAGTCTCCACCGGTGTTTGCCCTTGGGCTTCATCTCTGGAACGGCCCCTGCATCCAGCTGAGGGCTTCTCAGCTGTTCCTTATAGAGAGCTGCAGAAGTTTTATTTATGCTAATTTTGACTTATTTGGTAATCCAAATGCTAGCTAGTCATTGTCTTGGATGTCCTTTTCATTGGAAATAATTCCCAGAGCTTTGCTTTTCCCCACCATATTAGATGCTGTTAAACTTCTTGTACAAAGTCTTGTATGTTTTGTTTTAACAAGGCTCATTATAAATCTGCTGACACACGTCTTGGCAGGACGATCTTTTGGAACATGTTCCAAGATTTGCTCAAAGTGATTGAAGGTCACACGTTGCCTGTTGGGATGGCAAGTCAAACTGCAGTACAGCTGGATCTCACAGCACGGCAGCTTCTGAATCACTTCTCAACAGGAGCCCACAGCTTACAGCTTAAGTCTTAACCTCCTCAGTTACACATATACTATATACTGTACATAAACACACGTGTGAGCTCACATGGGAGCCGCACCAATATGGGTGGACATTTAATTATCAATGAACTCAGTAATCCATTGCTGTCCTCTTCGACCTCCTCTGCTATCTGCCAATACAGATACATCAAACTGCATTGTCATAAAAACCATCAGTGCTTTCTACACAATAACCTGGTTTATATTAAGGCGGCCCGTGGAGGAGAGATTTAGGTTTCAATTTATACTTCGTCACCAAAGTCTACATTGTTTACTGCATACATTTACCTGCATGTGGTCTTCTTCTTTCCTGCCTTTGTTGCTGCATTACAGAACCTTTGTTTTACATCACCCAAATATATTACATCTTTGTGGTTTTGTGTGTCTTTGAATGCAATAGAAACTGACAAAACAGGACTCACAGCATTACTCCGTAGGGCTGGTAATGGTCAAAAATTCCACTGGTTAGCTTTAATCTGTGTTTAGGATCAGAAGAAAGCTGGTTAACACAGCTACATTTTTGCAAGAGAAACCTGATTTCTTGGCTATGAATGCACTAAACTGGACTTCTAACAGGTTTTTCAAAGTGCTCTTGTGACAGCTTGGAATGAAAGTTTAAAAAACAAAAAACAGAAACTGGAGTGTGTCAGTCATGATTTTAAACTTGTTTCAAACTGTTGAAAAGCAGCTTTCTAGTAACGGGAGCCTGTTTTATGCTTCACAAATTAAATTCTCCCAAATGTTTAACTTCATCATCCCAACAAGTAGAGAATGTGTAGCTGCTTGTTCCTGGAGATGCACACGTTCTGCAACATAGACACACTTAACTATTAACTCTCTACTCAGGACTTTCATGTTGCCATATGTAGAAGGTCTTTCAGGGTCCATTGGACTCCAAGAAAGAATATGAGCAAAATATTTCTTGGTATTCATTATAGACTTTGATACTATGTTACATACATTTTCTGATAAGTTGACATATTCTTGGTTCCAAATGCACGACAAATGTCCCTCTTTTTATATTTAAAAAAAAAAAATTCTTAAAAAATAAAAAAACAATGCCTGTCACCTAAACCAAATAGCCTAGGGTCCAAAAGACCCCAAAAGTCCTAAATAGGATTAATATAAACACTGCTGAGACATTCAGTCTGGTGCAGTAGCTGTAATAAGAGCAAAAGAGGTGGAAAACTAACCAGCGCTAGTTGTACTGTCACTGATCTGAGTCACAGCCCAGTGATTTAACAGGTTATTATAACATTCCAGTCTACAGTCATTTACACTTCAAGTTCATTCGGTATGAGAGTATATGGATAACAACTCAATGTTAAATATGAATATTTATAAATATACTTTGATTAGCTCTTTGGTTTGCAGTTTTCTGCAAAGTTGCATAAATCTAAACTGGTCAGAGTTTTATTTTGAAATTAATGACGCTGATGTATTTTTACATATTTTAAGGGCCTACTTGTCTTCCTTGTCTAAACCTCTGATGTGCTGCATCATGTTATGCTAAACCTGTTGTTGCTTGTGTTAAACTGACACTAAGTGATGTGGCTGAACTCACTAAATACAACTCTGTGACTGTGTGAAGCAGGTGGATCCTGTTCATTACCTTAACATGGTGCACCTTCAGTAATCACAACCGTGTTTATATCCACACTACCCCCCATGGAGACATCGGATGAATGCTTCAGTCTCCATTAATGTTTCTTTTTTGTCTCCCAGTGAAACTAAGGCCATCATGAACCTGTTCAGGAAAGATGCCATGACCACAAAGAAGGACAAAGAGAAAGAGATCCAGTATGAGGATCCTCCAGATGGAGGTTGGGGCTGGATGGTTGTGCTGCATTGCTTCCTGGTTTGTGCACCTCAGTTCTTTATAAACCCTTATTTCTCTGCTAAATTTCTTAGTTTAATTTTAAAAATCTTTATGTAATATTAAATATAACATGGATAGATTTGGGTAGATAAAGATCAAACAAGAAGTCTCTTTGTTTATAGTGTATGAAATAGTTGAATGTTAGTATGTATGTACTGTATGTTCTGGAGGAACCATGACAAAGCATAACATGTTAACAAATGACCTCCACAGGGGTAATTTTCATCCATATCTCTCTATTTTGTGTGTGTGCAGGTAAACGTCCTTGTGATGGGAACTCTGAAGAGCTTTGGGATCTTCTTTGTGGCCTTCCAAGATGAGTTTGGAGGCTCAGCAGAGAGCATCAGCTGGATCGGCTCCATCATGTCGAGTCTGCGTCTGTCTGGAGGTTCGATTTAAAAATTGTCAACTTGTCAAAGCGCCACCACTAACCTTGAACCTGTGAACTGGAAATAAGATTTTTTCAGATAATTTTGTCCTTTCTCCTTTATGCCCAACGAGTTGGCCAACATGTATTTGCGCACATTCTTCTCCAACATGTTTATATTTAGATACTGAATTCTAGACAAACTTGGGATTCGTTTTTTAAGCTTTCGTTTGTGCTTCCTTTCCTGTTACCTCTGCAGCACCTCTTGCCTCTGTGGCTTGTGCCAAGGTGGGCACCAGGGTGACCTCCATCGTCGGGGCCGTGCTGGTTAGCGGAGGCTTCCTCATGAGTATTTTTGCCAACAACGTGGTATTCCTCTACATCAGCATGGGAGTGATAGTTGGTGAGTTAGAATGTATAGTGAAAAAAATACCTGAATGATGTTTCCCTGAAGACTTTTAAAAAAATATTTTTCAGTCCATATGATGCTGTGACTGACCCAGTGTTTGATAATGATAATGTGTTCACTCCTCTCAGGAATGGGTTTTGCACTACTATACCAGTCCTTCTCAGTGGTCACAGCTCTGTACTTCCGAAAAAGGTTAGCAACAGCGTATGCGATCGGGCGCTCTGGGATGGGACTAACCTTTGCTCTTGCGCCGTTCACTCAGCTGCTTCTGGACCAATACGCTTGGCAAGGTAAACAGAATAAATCTTTTAATTGGTGAGTTTGTGTGTAGAAACACAGAATATAAAAGGTGACAGGTTAAATCCTGAGCTTTGTTTGTCCCTCACAGGGGCGATGCTGATCCTCGGTGGTCTCATGCTAAATCTGGTGGCCTCTGGGATGCTTCTCCGACCCATCAATGTGAAGCCGCCCGTCTCAAACCCTACCTCTTCTCCCATCCAAAAGAGCCCCGCGATTTCCCTCAAGAGCTCCGCAGAGAAGGAATACTCCAAGAGCTGCTTTAGTGGCTCCTCTCACTTAACTAATGGCGTCTCCAAATCAGACTCTTTCCCATCCCCTCCTCCTTCTCAAAAGGACGCTGAGAGTCAGGGGGGGCAGTGTACTCAGGGACCCCAGGACCAGCCAGTGAACCCTGAACTGACCAGGCTAGTCCTCAATGGTGTGAATGGCCACGAGCCCCACCATGACGTGGGTCAGTGCAAACCCACAACTCCAGACAGCTCAGCGGAGCTCAACGGCAGCATGAATGGTTCCACCATTGTTGGATTTCCCTCACATGCCAGCATGCCGAGTGAGGTGGCTGTCAGAAAAACCAAAGTACTGGATTTCTCCTTGCTGAAGGACCCGTTCTTTTGCATCTACACTTGGTCCTTGGTCTTCAGTCAGCTGGCCTACTTCATCCCATATTTCCACCTGTCTGCCCGGGCCAGAAACCTCGGCATCGATGCCATGGATGCTTCGTTTATCATCTCTGTGGCAGGTGAGGCTTACACAAGCCAAGAAATTCAACTATGGTGTCATTAACAACCTTAAATAAGTAGTTTGACATTTTGTTAAATAGCCTAATTTGCTTTTTTGGGCAAACATTTGAGAAGAAGATTTAAAACATTGTCATATGTGTGCTGTAGAAAAGCACCTCCAACTAACAGCCAGTTAGCTTAGCTTAGCTTAGCATAAAGACTGGAAACGGGGAGAACAATATAAGGTTTTGCAATCTTCCAACATTTCTCAAACTTCTTAATGAATGTCTTCTGTCCCTTTTGTTTAATCTGTACTAAAAGCAAATTGTGAAAAATGACAAGTTTAAGTCTTAGAAGGAGTTAAGAGCAGGACTATTCCCTGAAGTATCAACTGCATAAAAACCAGTTTGTGTTACAAAAAACAATTTAATGAAGCAAAATAAGTAGAGAATTACAAGCCATCTAAACTCTATGCTGGACATGCTCAGACATACAGCATATATGTGAATATATAAATATATATATAAAGCTTATCAAACCTTCAGCCCAATCACAACTCCATTTCTTAATTTGTTACAAGGTTTTTATTAGCCATAGTCCTTATTAATGTCACAGTTTTTCAAAAGAATTTTGAAATTACATGATGTCAGTCTCATATAGAATACAGATGACAGCAGCCAATGGCACAGTTGCTATAGCAGCCTCCCTTTTCAAAGAGAAGTTATCAATAGCAAGCTCACAGCTAAACCCCTCTACGGTCATTTTAATGTGTGAAAGTGTCACCCTCAATCACAGTGGTTAAATGTTGTCACGTTTCTCCTATTGAAATGCACTTCATTGTTCGATGACCTTTATGAAAGTCAAAATCAGTGGGTTTTTATCAATGAAGCGTCACCACAAAAAGAGTCTGACACTCTACACATGTGACAGAGTCTGGATTAGATACACAGCACTTCTACCTTCATGTCTTTTCATGAGTTTGTGTCTTCTAGCAGGGAATCTGCAGAGACTGTGAAGAGGGAGGTCCAGGTTTCTTTAAGACTGGATCTAAGAAGTGATGCAAAAAAGTGCTCAGTCAACTTCTAGGCATTAATTATTTGTGAGCTGCTCAGACTCTGCAGTCTTATGTAATGAATGCGCTTACATAAAAGCTGAACTTTGGCCCACTGGCCAGGACGACCGGGTTCAGCAGTATGCCATCGATGAGGCCACTCCATATGAACAGTAAACAGCATTAACATTTTGACCACTGACCAACCACATGTGCGTGTAATTCTGTAAGAGTTGCTCGGTCAGGCTTTGTGAATAATTGAAATGCTCCATTTATGAGTTACTCTCTTCAGTTTTATCATTTCTCATTTGATGATCAGCCATCAGCAGACGGACTGAGACATTTGATGAATCAGTCTTAAGAACAATAACACTACAGAAGAGGGTTTAAATGCACTATTATCTAAGTACCTGACATTTCAAACTTTTTTTCACATCTGTTCATTATGATATTACATTTGATTTTATTTTTGAATTCAAACAGAGCTTGGTTTTGACTGTGGTGATAGTTTTAGATGACTGTTCAGCTGACACATTTTGAGCTTCTTTGTCAGCGTTCATGTGCAACAGCAGCTGGACACCCACCGTTGCACGAAATTTAATGAAATAGGTCTCAAGAACAAACTATAACCTACATGAAGAACACAGCTGGGGTGAAAACATTTATGGAATGGAAAGACTGGGGTCAGGTAATGCTGTGGTATAAAACTACACAAAATACACAAATATTAGCCATAAAATGGGCTGCTAAACCAGTCTCTACAAAGTCTGTGTGGATTTTTAGTCATCCAGGTCATGGTAATCCCAGGAGCTGCAGTGAAAAGCAGCTGGACTCCTCTTTGAAGACATTTCATCTCTCATCCAAGAGGCTTCAGGTCGTCAGAACTGAAGAACCCTTTTGAATGAGAGGCGAAACATCTTCAAGAACCTTAAAAAAAGGCGTCTCTACAATGTTTCAATAGAGGTCTGGTGAAATCAAAGGGATGTAGATGTCTGAATTTTCCCCCTGAAGGCCTGTTGGTTTACTCACATGAGCTTCATTCAAGTAAGCTGCAAGACTGACAGATTCTTTTGACTCAGGCACGTTTGTTCTGTCACATTTGCTGGTCATGTGCACTGTAATGAAGGGGAAAGAAGAGAGACAGAGCTAAAGAGACGGGGTGCCACCCACACCACAAAGCCACCATCCCAACGTCCCGCTGTCCCTCTTTTTGTGACCCGGCCTCGTCATAGAGGCCCATTGACTCGGCCGAGGGAGAGAGAGAGAGGCCACTATCATCCGGGTCAGTCTCTTCATCAAACCCTCAGCCGCCAACACTGGAGCTGATGGGAGTCGCTAAGCAACAACTAACTGAGTAAAGTTGTTGGCGCGGTGACAAGAGGGGCTCCCGGTTTTGTTTGAGCCCAGTTCTAAAGTGGCTGATACTTTGCAGAGGAGCACTGAGGCGGCAGTGCGTATAAAAGAGGAGGCAAGACCAGCCAGCAGCGGCTTCAGAGAAGCTGGGAAAACCAACATGCCTTTTATAGCCTCTTTGCTTTAATCTAGTGACAAAACATCCATCTTTACTGCAAAAGAAATGGCATCTCTGCATGCCTCGCAACCCCCCCGTGGTCTCTTAACACCCAGAGGCATTCACAGAGCTCTATACCTGTTAGCACCGTGGAGGAAAAATGACCAGAACTAATGTTCCTGATGAACTTGGCTCAAGGTGCTAAATTTAAATAGCATTATGCTGAGTTTGAACAGGAACAGCTGCAGGGCTGAACCAACCTGCTGTGGCTAAAACACACAAACAAACTCACAACTTGTCTGTGTGCAAGCAGGGGACACCCCAGGACATGTCTTGGGTCACTAGAGGAGGACACATAAACACTACACAGCTGCCTCATGTCATCTTTCTAACCTCGGTGCACAGAGGCGCTTTAGGTTCTGTTATGTAAGGAAAGCAGAGGTGTTCACTGATGAGGCATTTCATTGTTCATTCATTCAGACTTCAATCAGACCCCTAAAGAATGAAGATGTAGTTAATTACTCACTATCTGCATGTTCATTTATGTAGATGAATGCAACCTTTGTTGAAATATACGTTAAAGACAGATTTTTGTTCATGCATGCTATTCACAAACTCATATTCAACAGGATTTTCATCTCTTGTGGTTTCAAGCTGAGATTTAATGGCTGCAGCCTGTGGAGTTGTGTTGCAGAGGCTGTGCAAAGGATGGGTAACTCTGATCTGCATAGAACCAGTTTGTTTCATTGATTAATGGCTCTGCACCGCCTGCTTGTAGCTATTCCTGCGACGGTCAATACACCACTGCAGTTTCCGCATCGCCTATCGCGTTCCAGTTGACCTCAGCAGAGAGCAGACCATATCTGCCCAGTCATCATACCCGAGCGCAGCAAACAATCAGGCAGACAAGGTGGAGCGCTTAATAAGTAGTTTGCCTATCTGTTACTAGTACCTAACGGAGAAATTCATTGCCACCCACTGATTCTGTCTCATGTCAGAGAACAGAAAAAAAACAGACTGATACTAATGCAGGCCTGTGTGGTTTTAATTAAAAAGATCACACTCACAAACAATCTATTTCATGCTCTGATGTCTCTACATGTACCAGATTATCTAAGCTGAATTTAGGCTGTTTCTTGCATGATGTGGCTGACAGTGAACTTTCTCTCTCATCAGTTCAGAATACAGCCAGAATTGTTGGCCTCTGACCACAGTGTTCTGCTGCAGCAGCACTTTGTAACTTTGCACTTAAGTCCCCAGCAGGATTGTCTCAACAACAATAGTCATTCATTTTGGAGCGAGACAAAATACAGGACAACTTAAACTTCTGACCTGCTGAAAAGTTAAGAGTTCACAAAACTTAACACCAGTGGAAATAAAGGTGTAACAAATTAATCCATCCTGTAGTTGTCAAGACAGTTCACTAAAAAAAAAAGAGGAAATGTCATTTTGGTGCTAGAAGAGAAGCTGCAGTCGCCACAGAAGATGATAAGTCACACCACTTTGTCAAATTTCCTTTAATCCATGTTTTGTGTTAACAAACTACTTTAGGTGTTCATTAAACACGAATTCAGTGCGTGAAGCAGAAGCGGTTCGATGAGCAGCCAATGATTCACAAGTTAGCCAGATACAATGAATAAATCCACGGTCACATCTGGTCACATCTGTCAGTGTAACATGCTGGAGAATGATTTAAGCTCCCCTCTGTCACTTCTTCTGTTGAAAGCTGCAGCTGATTTATCACTAAACTGTCTCATAAGTTATACACATGTTGTCAGTCGTGCGTTACAGTTTGTGCACTTGAGCGCGCTTTATGGCTCCTTTTTTTTTTTTTAGAACACTTACTGCTGGTTAAAGTCTTAATACTGAAAACACAGAGGAATGCTTGAGTTGCACCATTTTTTTTATTATTTTTTAAACAAAACATGCTTATACTGCGTGGACAGCTGGCACCGACACACTTCTCAGCAGCACCGATGGACGTGTTTTGTCTCTGACCTCCAGCGTTATCTAGTCATGCAGGTAGTCGTGGTTTTATTTAGCCAAGTTTTGAGATGTCACTCTGAAATTTCTACTCTAACTCCAGTTCAGTAGAGGTGAATTGAATTTGTGTTGCTTGTAATATTGAAACGCCCCCCCCAAAAAAATCAATAGGTCCACGGCTTTCCTGGATGTCAGCAGTTTCTTTGGCACTACCTACCTGACATCCTGAAACATTGCTGTTGAATAAATGTATTTTGCAGTGCTGTAATCGGTTTAACTAGATTATTTTAGTTAAATTGATTTTCCTGGGTTTGCAGGTAAGAAAAAGAAAAAATGTCTGTGATGCAAAAAAACCCACTTTTGCTCGATTGTACCTAATGCTGAAGAGAATCTCTGTTCATAATATTATTTTTTCTCTGTGTTTTAATCATGGCCGGTGTGGGTCTGTTTTCCAAGTTTTAATGCATTTTGATGTGAAGTTTTTTTGTATTCCTTTAAAAAACTTACCATATAAAGGGTTCATTTGCAAAAACAGATCACTCCGTTTTTGTAGATTTTTAGAACTTTTTCCTTTGTTGTTGTTTGCTTGAGATAATATCAATCAAACTGAAGTTGAGTGGATTTGACTCAGTAGAAATGACATGACAAAAATACAGATAACTTAAGTTTGATTGATATTGTCTCAGGTAGACGATGGAAATGTGTTTTTTGGGGTTTTTTTTTGAAAGTTTGTGAAGATGGAGTTATCTGTTTTTGCAAATGAAGTCATATATCACTAGTGTGCACTTTTATCTCTGAATCCTTATTAAAGAAGCTGTTAGAAACATCTTCCTTTAATTTAATCAACCAGGACAATCCGCTATAATTGTAGTAATACACTTTTTTTTCCCTGCATGCGTTGAAAATAACAAGGAGACAGTTGGAAGATGAAACATAAAAAACACTGTTGTTTTATTATTCTGTGCCTAAAAAATAGTGTCAGTTGTCTTTATTTTGCATATGAAATGGTTGTACTTTTCACTTTGACCTCAGAAAACTCTTTTATCTTACAGTAACCATCGCCTGTAACGTTGAACAGAATGTTTGTAATGTCACCTTTCTCCTCTGTCTTTACTTTATCCCAGTGTCTCATCTGCTCCGACTCTGTTACAGGCATCACAGAGACCATCGCCCAGTTGGCCTCGGGCTGGGTGACAGACAGGAACCTGTTCCATAAATATCACTACCACAAAGCCTACCTGATCCTCTGTGGTTTGGTCAACCTCCTCTCCCCGCTGGCAACCTCCTACATCCTGCTGATGGTCTACGCTGTCTTCTTCGCCATCTTCTGTGGCGGCTACATGGCTCTGCTGCTGCCTGTACTAGTAAGGAAACCCTTTCTGAACATATGCATCACGCTCCTTTTTGAAATAAATTAACCTACAGCTTTAAAGGTCCTGCGGTTTTTGCGTAATTTCGATTTTTAAGGGAGGTTTCTGCAATAGGGTGTGTAACTGGACACCTATTGAAAGGGGCATGGAGGCAGCTTGTAGTTGGTGCACGTGCAGATAATAAATTCCAATCGATTGCCAGTGTCACGTATAGATTCCTTCAGAGAGTGAACAGCAAGTGAGCAGCAAGGCTGAGCTTATGCACATGCTGATGTCAGCATGCCAACGTACCCACAGCGACAGTGCTAACATGCTGATGTTTAGTTTAGATGATTGGTTCATTCATTTTTCAGGCAGCTTGTAAAAACAATTAATAAATAAATATTTCCTGATGGCATTAGATGAAAAGTGAAAAAGGCAGTTCTCTCCAAAGTGATTACAGTTAATCCCAAGGACAACACGAATGTCTGCTCACAAATTTGAACCAGTCTATAAGAACAATGAAAGCTGAAGGCAGTAGAGGAAAAGCAAAGTCGTTGCAATTTTATCCTCTGGGGACCACGAACTGCTGAACAAAGTTTTATAGCAAGTCATGTAATAGTTGCTGTAAATTAGATTTTGGACCAAATTGGCTCAAGATGAATGAATATATACCAGAACAGCTCTAAAATATTCAAAAAATTAGCTAGAAATGATAGGTTTACGAGCTCAACACAACCAGCTAAACTCAGTAATTCCTTAATTCTATCCAGGGAAGATGCACACGAATTAGTAGGTAGTGACAAACCCATAAAAGGTCGAGGAAATGGGTCCGAGGTATAAAATAGTCCATTATCTATACACCGCTTAATCCTTACTAGGGTCGCAGGTGACTCAGGGCGAAGGTAGGGGACACCCTGGACAGGTCACCAGTCTATCACAGGGCTACACTTAGAGACAGACAACCAAGCACACTCACATTCACACCTACGGACAATTTAGAATCACCAATTAACCTCAACATTTTGGACTGTGGGAGGAAGCTGGAGAACCTGGAGAGAACCCACGCTGCACGGAAAACATGCAAACTCCACGCAGAAAGATCCCGAACCTGCAACCTTCTTGCTGCGAGGCAACAGTGCTAACCACTGCTCCACCTTGCAGCCCTGGTATAAAATAGTTGTTTGTCAAAATTGCATAGCAGGGCAGAGAAAAAAATTTCGCGAAAACTGTCATTTTGAAAATCAATACAGATCAGCAAAGGTCAGTTAAAGCATTTATGTTGCCTCTAGACGGGACCCCGGTGTGCTTTCTCAATATCATTTGACTTTTCCCACTAGAGTTAGTCTCACTGTATTATCAGTTCATTTACTTTGCGAGACCCCACAGTATCAGACTCTCCCATCTGTTGAGTTCATAATAAGCGCACTAGAGCGGGGAGATTTTCATCCCGTGACAAGGTGAAGAGGCTTCATTACATCACGCACGGAAATGGAAACGTATCCTTGAAGCAGACCGTTGGAGATGTTTCCCAACTGCTGTTATGGGTGGAACGGCACATTAAGTCAGCGGGTATCCAGTGTCTTCAAGTTATATCACTCCTGAAAACAAAAAAGTGAGGACGCATGTGGTGTGACTTGACTTGCCCGTGGTATGGTCTCAAAGGCCAGGACAGGCCTCGGGGTCTAGATGATGACGTGTGGTGACCTAAATGATGTGGTTTGGTTTTTTTTTTGTTTTTTTTTTCTCAATCTGAATGAAAGAAACATCAAACCAGTTTACTGACAAACAGATAAAGCCTGAATTTAAGCTCATCTCTGCCTGCCCATGTCAATAACTACGTTTTCTGGCAAGAGATACCAGCAAAAGGATCATCCCACCACCGCCTTAGTCAAATGAGTTTATCATGTTAACTGATGCAGCTGATAATGTTTGAGAAACAGCGAAATGCACCTTTATTTTCAGTCATAATGGATGTAAAGACACAGTGTTGGGTTGTCTTTGTGAATTTAGCTCAAATGTACACTGATAAGCAAATTAAGGATTCAACCAAAGTGTTGTAATACTTTTTCCAATCCTGTAACATGAACACTGATATTATTTGGACTGAAACCGTAAAGCTTTATTTGTTAATATTCCCAGCTTTCTTTTGGAAAACTTTTTTGCTATAATATGCTCATGATGCTTATGATATGATCTGCGCTACAACACACGCTAATGAGTGTGCTGCTAGTTTCAAGTCCCAGCGTATACAGAGCTTCAGGTTGAATGCGTCTGTTGTGCCCTGCAGGTAGATCTCGTGGGGTCGGAGAAACTCAATAACTCCATGGGCTTCTCCATGTTCTTTGTGGGCCTGGGCTGCCTCACAGGGCCTCCTTTGGCAGGTGAGTCGGATCACGTCATGGAAAAGCTTCGCACATGTGTTAACCCACTTTTTCTAAATGTACACAATAACAAACACATCCCGTCCATATGTGCTGCATGTGCACGGGCTTGCTGCTATGACATTCGCTCTTCTAAAGTGATTTGTTGCGCCGAGCGAAAGGTGAAGTTTAAACATGTGTTTCTGTGAGTTGGTCCATGAG